CCACCTGCCCTACACGTGGCTGGCACCCCTGAGTCCCCACTGTGCCAGGGCTGGGCACGGAGCTTTGGCTGCCTGTGGGGTGATTTGCAGCGGGGCTCGGCTGTGGGTCCTCATTGCAGGGCCAGGAGTGACCCCAGTGCCACCATCACCTCCATCATGGCAGGAGGGCTGCAGTGAGACCCGTGGGCTCACCCCGACCTTGCCAGCACCCCCAGGCTTTACCCAGCTCAGGGGATGCTGCCAGGATGTCCCCAGGGTGCTTTCCTTCCATCCATCCATCCATCCATCCATCCATCCATCCATCCATCCTCCTTCTGCAGCTATGGGAAGCACGTCCAGCACTTCAAGGTGCTCAGGGAGAAGAACGGCAAATATTTCCTCTGGGAAGAAAAGTTCAACTCCCTCAACGAGCTGGTGGATTTCTACAGGATGACCACAATCGCCAAGGAGCAGCAGATTTTCCTGTGGGACGAGGACCAGACCCAGGAGGTACCACCATGGGTGGGGCTGAGGTTCCCAAACCCCCGTGTGAGGCCCCTCGAGGCTCGGTGTCCCTGCAGAGGGACAGGGACATCCCTGGCTGGCACCTTTGGCTCAGGAGGGTGAGGAGCAGGGGAGGGGGCAGCAGCCTGGGACAGGCAGTGCTGCAGGGAGGAAAAGGCCCTGGAGCAGCTCAGAGGGGCAGGGCAGGGCAGGGCAGGGCACACATCCCTGTCCCTTGTGCCAGGGGTGATGCCCAGGGCAGGTGGCAGAGCCAGGACAGGGCACAGCCAAACCCCAGCCAAGCCAAACCCTGGGGCAGTGGTTGGGGAGGTGGCAAAACTGGACTTTGGAGCTGGGATAGGGAAGGCTCCAGCACCTGGAAGGAGCTGGGAAGGAGAGGGTGCCAGCTGCCTCCCTGGGCACCCATCTTGAGAGATGGGGAGAGCCCATTCCACTCTCCCCTTTCCTTGCTTCTGTCTCTCCAAAGCAGGGATCCCAAGGCTCCTCCTCATCCCGTGGTGGCACAGCCTCCCCACCAGGACCCGGGCAGTGCCACCCAGTGCCAGGGGCTGTGAGATGGGGACCCCTCTCCTCCCACCAACCCCGGCCCTCGGCTCCCCTGCAGGTGAGGAGACCCCGATTTGTGCAAGCCCAGTTTGACTTCTCAGCCCAGGAGGGCTCCCAGCTGCCCTTCCTGCGTGGGGACATCATCGAGGTCCTGGGCTGCCCCGACCCCAACTGGTGGCAGGGGAAGGTCTACGGCCGTGTCGGGCTCTTCCCACGGAGCCACGTCCACCCCATCCACAAGTGACCTTCAGGTTACCATTGAGTGACCATCCACGAGTGACCTTCAGGTTACCATCCACAAGTGACCATCCACGAGTGACCATCCATGAGTGACCTTCAGGTTACCATCCACAAGTGACCTTCAGGTTACCATCCACAAGGGACCATCCACAAGTGACCTTCAGGTTACCATCCATGAGTGACCTTCAGGTGACCATCTACAAGTGACCTTTGAGTGACCATCCACAGGTGACCTTCAGGTGACCATCCACAAGTGACCTTTAAGTGACCATCTACAAGTAACCATCCATGAGTGACCTTCGGGTGACCATCCATAAGTGATCATCACAAGTGACCTTTGAGTGACCATCCACGAGTGACCCTCACCACGCCGCCGCTGACTGGGCAGGAGCCGGCCCCGTTGTCCCCCCTCACCAGAGCTGCCCTCACAGCCTGAGTGTCCCTTTGTCCCCAGGATGGTGCCTGGTCCTTGGCCCCCAGCCCAGGGATGGGGCTGGCAGTGCTGCTCCCCAGGCAGGGAGTGTGGAATGTTCAACCATGGCCATAAAATCTTTTCCAGAGGCAGAATCCAGTGGGATGGCAGCAACAGAGGGAGCGAGCCCAAAACCCCAAACCCTGAAACCTCTCCAAACCCTGTAGGCAAAGCCCCAGCTGCAGGGAAGGCTGCAGGCAGCCAGGACACAGCCAGGATCCACAGCTCCACGGAGGAATTCCAGGACTCAGGGTACCAGGGAAGGGTGGTCCAGGGAGATGCCATCCTGTGGGGTGCTGTTCATAGCTGCAAATTTATATTTTTTATATAATTTTTTTTATTTAGGGCCAGTAAAATGTGTTTATTATCCCTGAGAGTGGCTGATCCTTTTCCAGCACTGCCAAGGTGGTCCCATCCCTCCATTCACACAGGTTCTGCTTCACTGCAGTTTTATTTCCCCTATTTCCCCACCCCAATGCCTGTCCCAAACCCCTCCAGGGATTTTCTGCCCTCACAAATGCCCCTCACACCCCTGGGATGCACTCAGGGAATGCAGTGCGCAGGACACCCAAATTATTGCACCAGTGGATTTAAACATCACATCCCAAACAAATTAAAAATAGCCCCCAAATCCTCATTTTTCCCCTCTCCAAGCACCTCTTCCCCACCCCAGGGGCTGCCAGGGTGCTGGGCAGAACAGACATAAGAGGAAATACTGACGCACATCAGGACAATGGCATTAATGCCACAGACACAGACCCAGAATGGGGCTCCTGGGGTGTCCCCAAGGGCCACAGCCTGGGTCCCTTGGGTGGCTGTGGGTGTCCAGGCTGGACCTGGCGCAGAAACACGGTGAGTGCAGGGGACAGGTGACCCTGGGGACAGCCACCTCCTGCAGCTCAAACCCCAGCTCTGGGAACTTGGAGCTCTTTCCCCCCCTACAGCCAAAGCCTTTCCTCAGGGCTGGAACGAGATGATCCTGAAGGAACCTTCCAGCCCAAACCCTGATCCCAGGTTGGGCACAGGGGCTGTTGGGACCCTCTGACAACTCCTCAGAACCCGACCCACGCGGAGGAAAACCTCAAGCGTGCAGCTCACAGAGCTTTTTTTCCCTGCCAAGCACATTTCCTTGGCTCTGTCCCTGCAATCCGCAGCGTCCCGCTCGCACTCATCGCCCGCCCCTGCCCGGGATCCACCGCAGCAGCGACTCCCGCCCCGGGCGGGCAAAGCCCTTCGCAAACATTCATTATCCATCCTGGGGAAAGCTCTCCTGCCTTGTCACACCCTTGTCACCGCCAGCCACTGCCAGGGAGGGGCTCAGCCGGCTCTGAGACAAGCGCCCCTCTTCGCAAACGGGACAACGCGGGACCCCCATTGCCCGGGATGGCCGCCCATCCCCTTCCCACCCTCTGGGCATGGAAATGCCGAGATCCAGCAGCTCCTGCAGCCGCTCCTGGTCCGGCCAGGGCTCCGCAGAGCGCAGCCAAAGCCCTGACCCAGATTCGCTCCCTGTTATTGTCTCCCGGGCCGGTGGCACCGTGCCGGGCATTCCGCAGCGCTGAGTGCGGCTCCGCGGGCACCCCCGGGGCCAACGGGGCTGTGCTGCCCTCTGTCACTGTCCCCTGTCCTCTGTCACTGCCCCCCGTCACTGTCCGAGCTCCCCGCGTGACCGCGACCCTGCCCCACCGAGCGCCCCGTCTGCATTGCCAGCGCTTTCATCCATAAAATAATCCAAGGGTTTTGTGTTCCTTGCATAAGCCAGGCTGGTGGAGGCGCTCTGCAGGCTCAACCGGCCCCACGGGTCTCCCGAAGGCCCGGTCAGCGCCTGCCCACGGGGAGCAGCTCCTGCAGGTGCCCGTGGAGGAGAGGAGGATGATGCTGGTAGTGAAGGGGGAGGTCAGGGAGCGCTGCCTTCATCACCGCCATCATCAGAGCCCTGCAGCCCTGCAGGGGAGAGGGAGCGGCTGAACGGGAGGGATGGGACGGGATAACCCCCGGATGGTGCCCACCCCTCTGCAGCCACATGGTGGGATCTGCACCAGGGTGAGGATGGAGTTTGGGAACATTCAGCTGCACCTCGGGACCTCACATCCCCTGACCTCACTGGTGGAGTGACCCTCGGAGGGGCTGCAGGGGCTGTGCCATGCACAGAGCATCCCACATCATCCCTGGGGTTCCATGAACACAGACCCTCCCACACCATCTCTGGGGTTCCCCAAACATCCAAACCCTTGCAGCAGCCCCAGGGTGCAGCAATCCCAGTGGGAATGGGGTCACCCCCTGGCACCCACCTACCCCTGGGCATCAGCTTCACCACCAGCCTGGGGTTGGTGATGCTGGAGCAGCCCCATACTCACAAGTGCACTCCTCAGGGTCCACACAAGCCATGCAGTCTGGGGACAGAGCAAAATGACATGCTGACACCCCTGGCAGGGTGGGGGCCAGCCCTGCACCCCTTCACCCCCTCCTGCCCCCTTTCCCTTTGCCATGGCACCGTGCCCAGACCTTGGCAGGAGACTGAGTGGAGGAGGAGCAGGGAGCAGATCCCACCTCAGAGATAAAAATCCACCTCTGCCTCTCCCCACTCCCACCCTCAGCTCCAGCACTGCAGCGCCCATCCCACCCCTCACCCTCTGCTGCCCACCCC